GAAGCCTTTGCCACTCTGAACAAATACAGTCCAGCTCCCCATCCACTACTAAACAATATCAGTACTTGGCAGGGAACAGAGCTGGGACATGACTGTTTTATTTTATACAGCTATGAAGTAACAGAAAATCCTGCAAATTAATATAGTAGCCATTTGTCATTTTAAAACCTGTGTGGGCTTCTGGTTTAGAAATCAAACCAGCAGCTCTGCAAATACTACTTTTGATGCAGCGTGTGCTTTGTGCCTTCTATACCTTTTTGATAAATTGCTACTCAGAATCAATATCAGAAATGAGCCACTCCTGTTCTGTTAGGTGTGGAAAGTAAATACTAACTTGTCCTTTTGTTTATCTCATTGTGTTTTATGCCTCCATTTTTAAATAAAGATGTGGGCTAAAAGACAGTGTTTAGCATTTACTCAAAAGGAAGAAAGCGGTTGAATACTGATGTAAAAATGAAACCTGGCAGCAGCATTGAGGGCTCATTGCTTCTGTGTTAGCTGAAGGGAAAAAAGAGGAGGTGCAAAAGAAAATTTAGCATAAGAGAGTTGAATCTAATAAAGGGGTTAGAGCTGCCACTCATCGGGTAGGTGTGGCTGTTTCTAAGTAGTTCTTTATAGTTGGGACAGCAAGCTGGACTCTCTAGATGAGAGTCCAGTCTTTCATTAGCAAGAAAAACACTACAGGAGGAACCTGTGCAGATCACTATTGTGCAGTTACTGCTTTTTGACCACTCAAAAATAGTTATCACTTTACATTCCTTATTTCTTGACCAGTAACTGTACACAAAGTGTGGCTTATTCTTGCAGTAACTGATGTCTGGTGTTCATTTGTGTTCTGGCTTAACTTTATATGTTTTAAACATATGTTTGCAGAAACATGTCTATCAACAAGCTTAGACACTGCCTAGTCAGAGGGCTTGGACAGGAAGAATAAAGCATTCAATTCTGGTGTGTTTTCCTGCAGCACAGCAGAGAAAATAAGCAATATTATACAGTAAACTAAGTACAAGGAAGAAGTCATATTACCTACTCCCACTCAGTTCAGGCTAAGCAGTTCTATTCATGATCTCTTTTCCTGTCAGTGCAGATCTTCCCTTATTACTCTAAAGGTAGCAAAATTGCCTGTAACAGGAAACCGAGGACAAAGTACTGATAATTATTAAAAAGTAAAGCCTTAATGTGAAAATTGTGTCTTTTAATAGTTATAGTTTATTCATCTTCATTATATCTTGTTAGCTTTTGCTGTTGTATGTTGGTTTTGGCTCAGATATGACAAGGAGGTTATAGAATCATGGAATTACAGAATGGTTTGTGTTGGAAGGGACCTTAAAGATCATCTAGTTCCAACCTCCCTGCGGTAGGCAGGGACACCTTCCACTAGAAGTGCAGGATAATAAATGATAACAGAGTAATGCTAGAGGTGAAACATTGCTTATAGTAAATGCTACTTCTTTTCTGCTCCTCCCACACTTTTCATCTTAATTGGTCTCCTCTGGGTAGCTGCTGTGCTGCAACCCTGCCCCTATGTCTGGAACAAGCCTCTATGCTATCATGCCATTGGTTTCTTCTTCTTTCAGCTGCCTTTTCTATTACTCATCAGTTATTATTAAGCAACTTTTCTTACCTTAATGGCTTTTTGAAACAAACAAATTCATTTCTGCAGTTTTAAGTTGCTTTGCCACTGTCTACTCCTTGCTAGAAGGGGTACCATCTGTCACCAGAAGGGACTTTTATTTCACCTGGTATTTGACATCAGCCCCCAAAAGCGCATGTTGAAGCTTGCAAAAAGCTTTCCCTCCAAACCCTGAGATGCCCAAAGGCAGTATCTGCAACAGTGCCTTTAGAAACTCCACCTTCATAAAAGTAGTGTTTTTCTTCTGAACCTACTTCAAGCAGCATTTCTATCATTCAAGTAATGATATAAATTATATATAAATTATAGAATGATATAAATATCAAACTTTCCATTTGAATGGAAACAAATTTCATTCTCCATTTTAAAGAAATGGCAATGCAGCTACTAATTAAAACAAATAAGACAAAGTAGATGTAATACTAGTTTGTGCCTCGTACATTGCTAATAAAACATCTTGTAAGACTCTTAGGTTGGGTAAGAGTTAGTTCAGCTTCACTTTAACGATGCATTTTTTTATAATTCACACTAAACTTTGGATGTCTGTATACACCATTTCCATGGAAGAGTGACCTGAGGGGCTGCTGCATTCAAATCTGTCTTCACAACAGTCTGTAAGTCCTGCTCCTCTTCCTGATAATTAATAAATTTTGCAAATATTTATTGTTCTAGTGCCTCAGATGAGCTCCAGTTGGTTGTGGTAATGCAGATGAAACAGTATGCAATTTGTCCAGCATCAGAATACATAAAGCTTTGGCGTGCTGATTTTTTATACCAGGTTATCTCTCTAGGGAGTCAGCTGAATTTTTAATTCCCTCAAACTTCTCCATTCCCAGGCAACAAGTCAAAGGAGGTGATCCTGAAAACCCACCTGGAGTACTGTGTCCAGCTCTGGGGTCCTCATCACAAGAAAGATGTGGACCTCTTAGAGCAAGTCCAGAGGAGACAATGAAGATGAGCAGAGAGCGGGAGTACCTTTGTTATGAAGAAAGGCTGAGAGATTTGGGGTTGTTCAGCCTGGAGAAGAGAAGGTTCCAGGGAGACCTTATTGTGGCCTTTCAGTGCTTAAAGGAGGCCTATGAGAAAGATGGTGACAGACTTCTCCATGGAGCCTGTTGCAATAGGAGAAGGGGTAATGGTTTTAAACTGAAAGAGGGTCGATTTAGATTAGATCCAAGAAAGAACAATGAAGGTGGTAAAACAGTGGCAGAGAGGTGGTTGCTGCCCCATCCCTGGAAGTGTTCAAGGCCAGGTTGGATGGGGTTCTGAGCAACCTGATTTAGTTGAAGATGTCCCTGGTCATTGCAGAGGGTTTGGACTAAATAACCTTTAAAGCTCCCATCCAACGCAAACTAATTTTTCTGACTGCAGTTTTGTCTCAAAGGAGGCATTAGGCAACATCCATAGTGATCTCAAATGCTGGTTTCCTATAGGAATCCTGTCATATTTATTGAACCAAGTATCCCAATGTCCTTTATACAATTCCCACTTTATGTACTTTGTCACCTCGAAGTCAGTGGTTAAGCACAGACACAGCCCAAGTCCATTTGCTTGGTGGGACGTGGCAGTTACATAACTACAGAGGAAAGGAACTGTGAGGTTCCTTGAGAAGTCATCTAGGTCAATGTTCAAGGCAGGATCAACTGTGTTTACAGAACTGCTCACAGATATCTGTCAAACCTGTTCTTAGGGGCTTCCCTTCTCAATACTTAACTACTGTAATAAGTAACCTGATCTGTTTCTTCCTATGAGAAGAAACATGTTTATCTGGTTTATTGTTGTCTTAATCCTCTCTACAATGGCCTTTTTGAACCTGGAAACTGTTGTCCGATGCGAGTACTTGTGTTCAATCCAGAGAGACTGGAGATGTTGCCTACACAACAAAGTCACATTTAGAACTGCTCTATCACTATGATGTGTACTGAACAGATTAAAGGCTGTGTTTTAAGAGGCGTTAGAAAGTAATTCAAGTAGAAAATGTCAGATGAGAGACTTTTTAACAGAGGAGCCTGTTCTTGACCCAGAGCCACTGTTATCCCAATTAATTATTTGGAATTATATGAAGCACTGCTCATGAAATCCGCCGACTACTTTAAAACAGCCAAAGGCCACCTAGGCTGGTGGCCACCAAGTGATTTAAATCACAGAGTCAGCAAGTGCCCCTTGAACAACATGTGTTTAATCCACCTACATGGCAAATATCTGTGCATCAAAGCTGAGGTTGCTGTCTGTGCATAGGAACAAAAATACAAAGCATGCTTTTGGGCTGGCAGTGAGGAAGGAGAATGTTGCATCTTCAAAAGCAATGAATCAGATGAGGGCTGAGAAGGTCACGAGGGGTAAATGCATGAATGCGAGCTGCCAGTCCAGTGTGGCAGCCGCACCAGCAAACTGCAAACATCAGGTGTCTAAACACAAATACCAACGAGCAGTATGTGCTAGTACGTGGCCATGACCATTGCATGGCACAATAACGTGGCTGTTCCGGAACCACGATGAATGACAAAAGGTGTAACAAACTGGAAAGGCTCATTAAGAACCCAGAAGAATGAGTCAGTGGAAAAATCTGCTCTCTACGAAGGTGATAGGTAATTATCTACACGGCAAAAGCATAGAAAGGTGCTGTAATCGCCTGTGCACGGCAAGATCAGCTCGCTGAGGAAAGAAAATGTCTAGTGTTTAAAAAGGATGGCATTTTTTCATGTTTTTCCTTCCTACAGGATTCTTTGATTTTTGGAAAGATAAAGCCCTGAAACCCTACATATTTCAGTACACTGAGCCTGGTGTGAGTTGAATTTAGATCTTTGTGCCATCCCCCTCCTCACTGGTTGCGGGTGCCCCAGCGGGACACGCTTCCCATGGAAAAGCACCAAGGGTGCTGTCACCCACTCTCAGGTGGAAAAATCAGCTTAATCTGTGAGTCCTGCCTGTGCAGAACGACCAAACCAGAGGCCACAGCTTCCAGTCGAGATAGGACTGGGATACAGCCGGAAAACTAAGGAAAAGGTAACTTACGGAGCAGATAGGGAGACAGCGGTTGGGAATCGAGCGAGAAAAATGCAAGCAAGGATGGAGATAAATTCCCTGTCAGTCGGGTCTTTAAGCAGCAGCTGTTCCTGTGTGCTGCAAAGGCACCGACGGGCTCGGTGCCCACAGCAGCGCTCGGTGACCCTGGGCCAGACCCGGGGGCGCAGCATCCTGGGGCACAGCCACTCCTCACTCGGGCTTCTCCACGTACTCCTCGCACCGGGAAGCGGAGGGAAAGGGGGGAAGGGGAGCGAAGGGCAGCGCGGACCGGGCGCCCAGCGGCGCCCTCAGCCCGTGCCCGGCGGCCCCGCTCCCGCCCCCGCTTCCTCCCCCGCCCCCGCCGCCATGTTGTGGGGCTGAGCCGCCGCGGGAGGCGGAGGAGCCGCAGCCCGAGCGGAGCCGCCGCTCTGGGGCAGCGCAACAGGTACCGGCGGGGCGGCCGCGGGCTCCGCGCCCCGCGGAGCTGGGCGGGCGGAGGGGAGTGTGGGAGGCCGAGCTGCGGGTTCGGGACAGGAGCGCTCCGGGGTTCTGCTGCCCCAAGCCGCTTTAGTTATGTTTGTTCCCCTTATTTGAGGCTGGTGGGGTTCGGGTTTGTTTGGGTTTGGTTTTTTTTTTTTTTTTTTTTTTTTTTTTTTTTTTTTTTTTTTTTTTTTGTTGTTTTTGTTTTTTTTTTTTTTCCTGGTGGGTTTGG